CCTAGTTCTGGAATGAGGTAGTGACCTACCAGGGGGGGACCGATGCCACGTTGAACGACAATGCGGAGGTTCTCCAGCCGAGGGGTCCGACCTAACGCCAGTACGAAGGCTGTGTGTAATTTTAGTAGTTATTTGGCGATTTCTTTTTCAGCGGTTCTTCTGACTATTGTTTTATATTTTCTTTGTTAGTAACCCTTCTGGTTACTATGTTAGGTTTTCTTTTTCTGCAACACTTTACCACTGTGTTTATTACTAAAAATATTGCTAAAAGTACATATTTAAATATATATATATATATATATATATATATATATATATATATATATATATATATATATATATATATATATATATATATACAATTTTTATTAGCTTTAATTTTGTTAAATTTTATTATAAATTTAATATATTCACTTATATGAAATTGTAGCTGTCATTTCATGTGTCATGTGTATATATAAAATAAAATGAGAAAAGTATTGCACCAATTAAATATTTAAATGTGACAGTGAAAATTTGATGTTCCTTTTTACAAATTAATTAAATCCATAGTATTTTGTAGAATATTAGCAAATATGAGTTAGTATCCAATTTATTGTTATTGGAATCAATAATAATGATGGTTCATTGTCAGAGTTAATAATAATGATTGTTTCTTAGCAGGTTACAAATTATTTTTGTATCATTTTCTTTTATTTTCTCGATTCTAAGTGTTTCAACAATAAAGTATTTTATAAATACTCGTATTTCGTATACGAAAATCGAAGGTTATTCGCAATCGTTGTTTATTTGTAACAAAAATCTTAAATAAATAACGTGTAAATAAAAGTTGAAAAATAATCCAATCTTTTTTCATCTTTGTATCAAACATAAATTTTCAATTTTTGTCCTATTCTGGCTAATTTAAATTCAATTACTAAAGTTTCTTGAGTTCAATTTTCATATATATATAATTTTGAATAGAAGTATAATTTATTTGAATTAATACAATATAATTATGAAGTAATATCTTCACAGTAACCTGATTTCTTTTGTTTTTTGTTTGTATAATATATCTTCATTGCAGATATTGTTATATTATCTTTTTATTTAAATACTAATTCAATATATATCTAAGTTTGTTTCAGATACATCAACTTGCAGAGGATATTAGTTACAGAAAATATACAGAGATATATACACTAAAGGTTTAGAAAGATGAGGTTTAGATTAGGAGAGATTAAGAATATGAATCAAAGAAAGTGATTAAGTGGAAAAAATTGTAACAACAAAATGATGTTTCATCCGATTTTTTACTATGTCGGTGTTTAAGGTCAGAGGCTACGAAATCTTGCAAGATGCTTGGTCTATTATATACTTCATCTGTGGTCGTATAAAGGAATTCCTTAATCACGAGTTAGTGAAAGTTCTAAGTGATTCTAAGTGATTCATTCACAATATAATAGATCCTTTTCCTCTCGTTTTTAAAAATTTTTGAGTATTAGTAATTAATTAATTTATTATTATTATTTCTATATATATATATATATAGAATCGTAGCATAAGTAGTTAAGTATTTTACGTAATTAAGTATTTTAAGTAGTTAAGTATTTTAAGTAGATAAGTATTTTAAGTAGTTAAGTATTTTAAGTAGATAAGTATTTTAAGTAGTTAAGTATTTTACGTTGATTGCTACACGAAATTTATACGTTTTGTCCATGGGTCAGAATATTTAATTTTACAATATTATATTGTGTTAAAAGTGCATTTTCCATTTCATAATGTTATCGAGTTAATTTAATTTAAAATTCTTTGGTCGATGATATTCATCTTAATCATTCTAAAATATGTCTGGCAGAAGAAACGTTTGATCATCGCGCATAGCAATCAACGTGGTAGTTGAACGCTTCTTAGTGCTGCTTGTTTGATGTGCTTTGCTTGTATAAATGCTTTCGTATTTAAATAAGGGATAATTAATGTATACATTAAGGGTTAAGTAGTTAAAGTAAAATAATGTAGATAGGTAGAGAAGTAAAATAGTGTAATTCCTTATGGGATATGTTTCATTTCTTTCATTTTTTTTTTTTTTTTTTTTTACAACTATTCGGGCCAATGAATGTGTAAAATGCGAAATAGCATCTCATACAGAATTACACTAATGTTTTATTTTCAGCTTTAGATTTCCGCGTCGGTTTTCCATGAAACTCCTTTTGTTGCTCGTTTTGCATAACGACTTAAAGATTTAGAGTTTTGCAACCGCACATCAAAAGGAGAATTTTTTTGAGTAAATTGATGTTTTAAATTAGTAGATTTTTGTACGTTAAAAGGAGGGTGGAAGGGCCGCGGATAGGGTGGGTCTCCATTCGCAGCAACCTCCTTGCGGTGAGACCTGGGCAATCGTACTATTTGATATATATTACTAATTGTATCACTGTAACTATGCTACAATTATTAATTGATATAGCAAATAATATGAGCGAATTGGCTGCGATTAGGGTCAATTATTCTTTAGTTAGGTAGGTCGATTATTCTTTAGCCAGGTAGTCACTAAATTCTATTAGGTAGATTATTATTAAGTTAAGTCAGATTGGATTTAAAGTTAGATTTTTTTAGATTAAGGGAGCAGCATGTCGTTAAGTTAGATTTTCTAGATTAAGTTAGATGTAAGTTAGCTTTAAGTTAGATCTTTTGGAATAAATAGGAAGGGGATTTTTAAGTTAGACTTTCTGACTAAGACAGAATAGTTAGTTTTAAGTTAGATTTTCTGGATTAAGCAGGCAGGGTATCTTTAAGTTAGATCTTTAAGTTACTTTAAATTAAGATAGTTTACTTTTAAATTAAAAGTGTACATGAATGGGTGTATGCATATGAATGTATAAATGTTGTGAGTGTATAAATTCCTGATTCGTGTTTGAACATTCAAATTTATTTGTGAAGAGGAGGCTAGCCTTATAAAAATAATTTATATTTTTTGGAATTTTATTGTAAACTTTTTAATTCACACTTGGTTAAGAAGTTATTTTATGATATGAGAAATGCATAAGAAATCTTCTTTACCATACATCTGTAAATATTAAATTCTGATCAAACGAGTACTTCTTTATCGACGTGTGGTGTGTTTCGCTATTTCCGTTCATAGGTGGCTCTGTAGTATAGAAATAAGCATTTCTCCCGCTTTATTTAAAGTTTTTATTCCCTATGCTTTTTTTCTTTCTTTCTAAAATTCTTATATACACTTTAAACGCTTTTTTTAAACATCACTCTAATAAAAAGATACAATAATTAGATATACATTCGTAATGTTCATCGATCATCTCTCAAATCAAATCGTGAGTCAGAAATTTGAAGATACATCTAAGTATATTCCACGGTAGAACGTAGTTAAGTCGATCGCTTTGCCGTATAATAATTTGTCTTCACAAAAGGCATTTTTGTGACCGTTGCTTTGTACGTTTTCCCTCGAACTTCGACCAATATTCCACCACCATAGTGAGCCAATTCCGGTGGTACGTATCCCATAGCGATAGAACGTCCAAGAGTTGGACTAGGACCACCTGAAGTAATTTTGCCAACACGTTCACCTTCTGGAGTTAATATACACGCTCCTTCTCTAACCGGCGGACCATGCACGACCGTCAATCCTATTCGTTTCTTCACAGTTCCTGTTTTGATCTGTGAGAGTATCCTCTTTGCACCTGGGAAGTTTGCTTCTTCTCTTCTTCTTTTGGCTATGGCAAAATAAAAAAATATGGTGGAAAAGTCAATTATTTACTGATAAAAAGATACTATTATTTAGTATTCATTATGTAATTTATGCATTTATAAGCAATTTGAAGATGGAGAAATGCATAGATAATGCACGTAAGAAATGTATGAAAATACAATAGAGAAGCATTGAAAAATATTATTAAAATTATTTAAAAAATATAAGGAAAAATAGATTAATTTATGCCTTTACTAAAATTACAAATTACTCTTTGAGTGGATGATTTTTACGCGTCCATAAGACCGTCGAGAATCTCACAATCATTCTTGACATATATTCGAAATTTGAAAGTCTATCCGACTTTTTCTTCGGTTTTATCAGCTCATTCAGAATCTATTATACCTATGAACCTTTCTAAAGGTTACGTAACTTCTTTTTATAAGTTTGCATCTTTTTTTATCCAGTTTATGTTATTTCTTATCTCTTAAATGTTCACATTGACTCTAATTAGGTCTTTATCTCGTATATAAAATAAATGAATTTGCATAAATATTCGCAATTTATTCATTACTGACCTATGAGCCAAGTGAGTCCAGCTTCGACTGGTGTAGTTTCTTCATCGATATCATGCCCATAGAGGCAAAGACCAGCTTCTAGTCTAAAAGTAATTGAATCATGTTACAAGGACAGATTTTTAGTACCAAATATTAGTAATAAAAACCGGTCAGTGACGGAAACGAAAAGATAGCTTTAGAAACAGATTTGTAAATTATTTCAAAATTGAATACCTTAAACTGTCCCTAGCTCCCAAACCAGCTAGTTTCGTATCAGGCGTGTCTAAGACCGCTTGTACCAATGTACGCGCAATTTTCGCTGGCATCGATATTTCGAAGCCATCTTCTCCCGTATATCCGCATCTAGTTACTCTGATTGGATTTCCAAATACTGTAGTTTCCACGCTGTTCATGAATGACAGATGTGTCAGGTTGATTTTCATAATCGATCGAAGAACCGACGCAGCTGTAGGACCTTGTAACGCAATGAGACTTTGCTCCAAAGGATCTAGGAATTGCAATTTTACCGATTTCCCATGACGTTTGAAGTTTTCCTTCAAATTAAGAATATTGGAGTAATGAGATTATTATATTATTTTCGTACTGAATAAATTTCCCGTGTCTACCTGTTGTTGGAGCAGCAACTCGGAGTCTTCGTCCCTTCTTCCAGCATTAGACACCACAAAGTATTTGTCATCATCGTCTTTTGTAATTATCAGGTCATCGAGAATTCCTCCATTCTCATTGGTGAATACCGTGAGAATCGCGCTGCCTCTGTTCAAATTCTTTAGATCACTGGTGGTCAGTGATTCCAAAAACTCGGTTGCGTCTTTTCCAGAAACTTGCGTTTGCAACATATGACCGACATCGAAGAGCGATGCAAAAGTTCTCGTGTGTTGATGAGACACGGCTATTGCCTCTTGATATTGCACCGGTAGCAACCAGCCGGAGAAGTTGATTATTTTACCTAGAAAAACACACAGTTGATACGTGCTTACGTTCTTATATCTTAAATTTATTTGATAAACATGGGCAAAAATTTAAATTTAAATTTAAATGATAGTATTTCAACACTTACCATAGAGGTTTTGAATAAGAATATTGTATGTGTTATGTGGAACTTTCTGAAATTTTATTCGCACTGGAATGGAGTTATTATCGTGATTATATTGATAAAATCTGAAACGAATGCACACACACATACTTTGTACGTCATAGGTATAATTATGCAATGTTGCTAAAGATAATTTGAATAAACGTGGTTTGCTAGTATACTGAATAATTGAATATTCAATCACCTCGATCGTGTATGTTTGTGAAGTGCATGTTTGCAGTAAATATAATCTCACATATTTTCACATTAGTTTCAAATTTCATCAGTTTACGAGCATTAATGAAATTTCCAGAGTGTATCCTATCGCACGCGTAAAAATTTTTTCTGAAGTTGTTTGAATGCCTTCACGAGCAACTGTATCTGAAGGAATTCGTCGCGGAAACAGGATGCAAAAATTTGTGACTACTTTCGTAGCAGAATACATAGCAGAAACTCGAATCCCAATTGAACATTCTGCTTGCGACTCTCGCTAGGAAATTTCTCAACGCCTTAACCCTATTACGCATTACGTAGGAAGCAAAGAGACGAGAGGAATGGAACAAATTTCCATTGATAATTACCTCTATTTTCCACGTGAAGGTCGTGCAAGCAGGTTTTCCTTGGCTGTGGCGTCGGCGCCGTGGACGCGGACGCCGTTGACGACGACCGACGGCCTTCAGTTCCGTTTGACCGCGTTTCGGAATCGATCAAACATCTTAAACGCTGTTTCGGTATCGTACGTTCCGAGTTGCTCTTAAAAATCGTGGACGACTCGCGGATACTGCCCAACGTCTCCAGCTGTTTATCGAGACTCTCGAAGCAAACCGATCTCCCACGAATGCCAAAGCGAATCATCGTCTATTCTCCGCACCGATCGGTCGTGCACTGGCTCTAGTATTATCCCGGTTGGAAGTACCGGCGATACAGTCTCTTCATCGATGACCCCACTGACACCAGGCGTCAAAAATCGGCCGATGTTTCCGATGCTGACGCAAAATGCTGACGATTTCACTTGATTCTGTATCGACCGCCGACGTTCACAGAATAGCCGTTTCTTATTTTTCAACTTTTATCTTTATCTGCGCGCCACGCGATAAATAATGTATTTTGTCGAGGTGAGTGACGCCGGAGCGGTTGTTTCGAGTATGGAAAAACACGGGTATTATTTTAATCGCTTCTTAAACGAGACGTCTCTCTCATCTCTTGTGATATTTCGAAACATCTACTGAAAAGCTCGCGAAGAATCTCGCCGTACGTTTAAACGCGATAATTTCATTTGTCTATCACCGGCGCGTTTTTGATCTGTTGTTGCACCGAATGTTTCGTACGTGTGCGTTGAAACGGAAGAGAACTAAGAAGAAGGTCATGATATAAATTAATATTCTCTCGTACGATGAAACCCGAGAATAGTAACGTTGATTACGATATTTTCACGCGTAAGAGAGGTCAGCACGCTGTTAAAAGTCGGAAGAGATAAGAAAACTAAGAAGAAACAAAAACGCGCGTGTGATTTAGAGGGATTGTAGTCACGAGACTCGTGCGCATCGGATGCTTATTAAATTTTTATTGTACCACGTAATAATAATAATAATAATAATTAATAATAATAATAATAATAATAATAATAATAATAATAATAATGACAATAGTAATAATCGCAATAATTATCATCGCAATAATAAATCGTGATAATAATGTCAATAATAAATGTTAATAATTAATAATAATAATAATAATAATAATAATCATTTCGTCACAATAATAATAGCAATAGTTTCGTAATAATAATGACAATTCATCGTCGTCGGTAATAATCCAATGACAAATGTCAATAGTCATATAGTAGCGTGTCGAACGGAGAAACGACCTTAAAAAACGAAGACAGTATCAATTGTTCGTTCGTACATTTTGTTTTTTTTTTTCTTTTAGCTTCCGTCGTCTTATTCTTCTCGCTCGCGCTTTTTCCATTTTTTTTTTAGTCTCTTCTTACCTCTCGCTCTCGCTCTTCCACACGCGCATTCTCTCTTGACGTTTTTTTTTTTTCAAAGTTTTCTTTCTCTCACACACACGCACACTTTCTCCCTCTGTCTCGTGTTTACACAATTGATGCAAAATGTCCCTACACAGTCCGACGAATGTGTGTGTGTGTACGTTTTTCCGATCGATCGATTTTCTTTTATTTTTTCTTCCTCCGGGTCGTAGTGTGTTTGCTCGACGCTTTCTCTATGATATTACTTTTGCATTTTCCGCCTTTATCCTCTTTGAAATCCGCTATTTTCCCTTGTAGCACGTGTTGACACATTCACTCACATTGGTTAATCGGTTTGCTAGTGGAGGGACTAGGGTGGTAGTGGTGGTGGGTTGGAAACGTGAGGGGGGTGTGCAGTTGGTGGAAGATTATCAGTGAAAAGTGCGTTAAGGGGTTGGAGGTGGGAGGGGTGTGGAGGGGTTTTTGGTTGGGGGGGGGTGACGAATAATGGAGTGCTTTGGATTTTGGAAAAAGGACGCGTGATAAGGTATCGCGAATTGATCAATTAGGAACGCTTACGAGGAAAATGGGTTATGCTGCGGTGAAAACAGAAGGCGCAATTATATATCAGGCCCCGCCGGTCAACGGATCTGCTTTTTTCGTAATTTTCGTCCCGTTAATTTTGTCGTCCAAATTTCTTTTTTCTATCTTTTCTTTCTTGTTTTCTCGGTTTATTCGAAAGGTTGTTCGACAGGGTCGCGTTAGAGAGGCCGAAAGACACGATATTTTTTTCTTGTCCGACGAAGAAGATTGACGAATCGCGGCTGTCGAAATCCTGTTGAAAATTCGTCGACCGAGGGACATTTTCGTGGTGCCGAGAGCGTCGAAAGTCGATAACAAGTCGCCTACGATCGCGAGGGGGAAACCGAAGTTCGATCAAGGATGGGTGGCGATCGGGAAAGTATACTGCCTATCGTTTCCGCGATTTCTCGTGTCGCGCTCGTCCTACGCGTTTTATCGAATTCGTCCTATCTCTCTGCCTGAGCTATCTTTTTTTTTTAATTTTTTTTTTTTTGCCTCTGTCGCCTCTCCTCCTCTGCTCGTCCTGGAACGCGACAACGTGCCCAATTGCGATTTCGAATCTTTCTTTCTTTATGTGTGTGTTTCCGTTTGGTGGTTTCAGGAGAAAAAGGTTGAAATGAAAACCGGGGGTCTTAAGAACGAGCGTGGGGATTTCGTCGGAAGTAGAAGTTTGATATTGGGCTACATTGTCACGAACGAGGAAGCACATCGCGTACGCGTTCGCGTTTATTGTTGTTTTTTTTTGTTGTTGTTGTTTGTTGCACTGGTTGTACGTATGCGTGCGTACATACATACATATATGTATATCTTTATATATAGATATATAATATTTTGTTATATCATCGGCTATTTCTCCTTCGTGTTTTTTTTTCTTTTTGGTCGTCGTACAAAAGAAATGAGGATTGAGTCGTTTTTCTTTTTTTACCGAAATGTTTCTGTGCTATGAACCGGAAGAAAAGTAAATCATTCCAGCGAACCCAAACTATTGCCTGCTATTGTTTCTTCTATTATGCGTCGGTATCGAAAAGTGTGTGTTTTCTATGAATTTCTGGTTTTTGTTTTTACGCATGTGCTCTCTACCTTTCCTCTTTCTCGTTCCTTCCGTTTGGCCGTGACGTGTGTTTTTCTTTTTTTTTTCTTTTCCTCTTCGATTTTTGCTCGTTTTCGCTCGAGGGGAGGGGGACTTTTTTTGTTTGCTTTGCCGACATTACAGTGTGCAATCACCGTCAAAAAAAAAAAAATTTTTTTCTCTCAACTCTCGCATACTCTCTCTTTCTCTCGCTTTCTCTCTCTTTCTCTCACTATTCGCGCTCCCTATATACTTCGAGTTCGATAATTTCGTCTAAAATTCCATTTTCGCCTTAACTATACACAATAATCATAATATATAATAATAATAATAATCACGACTCGAATACATCATCGATCACCTCCGAATATAGATACAATAATTTTTTTTCTCATCTTCTTCTTCTTCATCCTCTTCAACTTCTTTCCGCCTTTCTCTCTTTCTCTCTCTTGCATTACATCTCACAATAATGATCGTTTAGGTCGTCGTATATCTATACATATACATATACATATACATATACATATATATATATATAATTTATAAAATGAAAATAGGTACAATTTTGGACGCTTTTCTTCGTCGAAAAAACGCTCCGAAAATTTCATTTTCGCTTAATAATGCCCATCGGTTGCGATTCTAGTCCACTTGGTAGTAAAATTTTGTTTAGTTTTTTTTTTTCACTCTCGCATTCGTACACGTTCACTCTCTGTGTCATTCGCTCGATCTTCGTTCGCTCAACCGTTCGCAACATTCGCACTTCGAATGCATTCGTACGTACGATCTCTCATTTACGCAGCTTCAGATTTCATTTTTACCATTCCATGCTCTCGTCAATTTCTTCTTCTTTTTTTTTCTTTTTTTTTTTGTTCGACACTCAGACCAGTTATCCTTTCACACAAAAAATTTCAGCGATAATCGCTTTACTCGCGATACATCAGCCTTTTTTCGCCTTCGAAATTTCGAAAAGACATGAAATTTTAGGCTGGCCAATCGCGTGCTTCCGGAATCGACGAGCTTCCAACGGCGCTCGCAACTAGAACAAAATTTTCACCGTGAAATACGCGCTTAATTTTCTATTCTACGTCATGTTATAGTATATTTACAGTCGTTCGATTGCAACGTCAAGTTTGTTCTTAAAGAGTCTCGAAACTCCAACTTCGAACGGCTTTAATTCTGATTCAGCTCGCATACAAGCTCGTTCAAACGAAAGTTTCAGGACTTTGCACAATTTTCATCGTATCTCGACAGTTTCTTTTTGCCTTTTCCTTCTGTTTCGTCTCTCTCTTTTTCTTTTTCTTTTTTTTTTCTTTTGTTTTTGTTCTTTTCATTCTGCGCGGAAAGTAACCTCATTTTACGCGGGGATTCGAAACAATCGGTATCAAGAGTTCAAGAGTCGTGAATTTTTGGAATGATAGAACGAGACCGAGCCATCGTCCCATGGAACTTTGTCGAAACGAACTGGTATGCATTTAACAGGAAGCCCGAAAAGACGCTTTATACATAACATTTCTCTGCTTTTTGCATTCGCAGTTACACTATAATTCGCAAAACATTAATCCGCAGTGTTCAATGGTATCTACTTGCAAGTATCTGAAACACTGCACGTAGACTTTTTGACGCTTTTCCTCTTTTCCCTTTTTTTTTTCCTCCTAAAGAGTGCATCCTCTTATTTCTAAATCGTCGAAAATAATACCTTTCGCTTTTTTTTCCTTTTTCTTTTTTTTTTTTTTTTTTGCTTCGCAATGGCGTCAAGTCGTTACGTCGTCGTTTTGATATGTCTAATTTAAGAAACGAAAGTTCTGTTTCAGATAGCTTCCTTCTCCCCGTCGCTCGAAGTATCAAAATTAAATTTAAGCGTTTTCACGCGGTTTCGAGCGACAGCTGTCGAATTTCTTTCTTCTCACCGAACAAAGCTCGATTTCGATGCGGAAACTACGGTGAAACAGAATTTTCCGTCGAGTACAAACGATACTCGAAACAAACGTTCTGTTCGGTTTCCAAGACGATCGTCCGGCGATGAGCCTGCTAGTTTCTCGCGACCAAAAAGTGACGAAGTCGCGTGCTCGTCAAAAGCGACGCCGAATCGCACGGAAGATTGTCTGCAGAAACGTTCCTTTCATTGTTTTCTTTTTGGACTCGATCGTCCAATCGTTTCGATAAATTCGCACCAATTGTTCGATTCCCGATACCAGAGTAGTTAATCTCATCGAACACTGCCCACCAACGTCATTCAGATATATGACGCGGGTGGCGCGGAGAAAAACCATTAAATTTCGAATTGTTCTTCCGCGTGTGCCCGGAAGTTGTTCCGTCGCACGGAAGCACTCGTTGACGAATAATAACGATCCGTAAAAAAGGAAAAAAAAAAAAAAGAACAATTACGTTTGAATCCTAGACAGGATTTGTTGTTATTTTGCATGTTGAGTTACGCAAAAAGGCTCTCGCGATTTCGAAAAATTTTCCTCTTTGTTCTCATTTCATCGTTTCTCGCAATCATCGAAAATGTTGCTCTTTCTCCTAGATATTGCATCACATGTATATCATCATACATAGAACCATTTATGAGAAATCCTACACAATGCGGAACTTGCTCGTAACCGAAAGAGACTGCTGAATTATTATTATCGTTCGACATATGCTTTCGCTTATTACATATACTTATTTCTTTTTTTTTCTTTTTTCTTTTTTTTACACTTTTCATCATTTTT